GGAAGCGTGACAGTGGTTAGCCACAAATATAAAGAATTATGTGTTTATGTGTGGGAGGAACTAGGAATATGTCAGTGCACTTATGTGTACATTTCTAACACATCTATACGGGTTCATCGAAAATTCTTTCAAGACATTTAGCCTTTTACATTAAAATAATAAATAAATAAATAATGAACCTTTTGAACCTTTGAGCAGTTGTCACCTATCTTGTTTCTTTATGCTTGTACTGGCTTTTTGTTGTTTTTCATCTAAGAACTTAGTAGAGTAGAGGCATGACCAAGTGTCCATAAACGGTGGCTTAGACTGAAATGGCAGGTGCCAAGAGAGAGTTGTGTGCAAAGAAACAAACAGAGGGCACACAAGCCTAATGCATTACCTTCTAAAAATTAGATTTATTGAATAAAAAATAGTATACTCAAAAAAATAAAAGCAAGGCACATCACAAAAAAAGAAAGCATGGTTCAATCTCCCTAGATGGTGGCTATTGGGGGACTGTAGGTCTCCAATTTCTGGCGCATTTCAAGGCTGAACCTCTTCCTGAGATTGAACCATGCACCGCTCCAGATAACTCCAGACCTTTAAACAAACACCTCATTCACACTTTATGGGCTTCAGCGTCCATGTAAATGAGGCCTTTTATGTTGAGTTTTGCTTTTAGTGCTACTGATCTCCTGCAGCCAATTTGCAGCCACTTCATAACAATATGCATGTATTCCAGTGATGACTTTATGGCATTTTTTAGGGTATTTTTCCCAATGGTGAGCAGCATGCTATAAATGTTTACACAGAAACTTGCAACCTTCTAAATTAAACCCATATGACATAGTGACAATGCAAGAGCATAGTTAGGATCAGGGGCGAACTGACCATTTGGAAACTCGGGCACTGCCCGAGGGCCCGGGGTCAGTAGGGGGCCCCATGAGATGCCCCTGGTACCTTTTTCATAGGCTTTTTTGAGTTGGGCAAGGACACAGGGGCCCCAGGATCCCCTATTGCCCGGTGGCCTCATGAGTTGTCAGTCCGCCCCTGGTTAGGATACAGGGACAACATTCCCCCCTCAGTACTGGATGTTGTGGGACTTTCTCACTGTGTGTATAGGAATTTTGCAGGTACAAGACTTGCTCCACCATTGAAGTAAACAGGCAGCATCCAAGTTACGCTGTACACCTTTTTACTTCTGTGGCTGATAGCTTGGTCTAGTGGTTACCCATTCACTTTATATTATTATTTTGGAATTATACAAGGGGTTGGATAAAATATGGAAACACCAGGTAAAAGAACAAAATAATTTCCTAATATGGTGTTGGAATGCCTTTGGCATTCAAGACGGCCTGAATTCTCTTGGGAATTGACAAATATAAGTCTTGGATGGTGGATAAAGGAATATGATATCACTCTTCATGCAAAAATCATTCCAGTTCTTGCAGAGATGCCGGAAGCAGAAAACGAGCCCGAACCTTGTTCTCCAAAATTGACTATAGTGGCTCGGTGATATTGAGGTCGCCCAGGGAAGGTGTGAGACTTCATCTGCTTGCTTGTCAAACCATGATCTGACACCACCAGTTGTGTAAATCATAAAATTATCTCTTGGTAAATAGTGCTGTCTTCAGGAAACAATGTCTACACCATGGGCTGTACATGGTTGTCCAAAATTTGTACTTCTACCTTTAAAGATGATGGGGTCTGCAGAAAATCAAGCTATGGTTGCCCAAACCATGATTGTGCCACCACCATGCTGTACTGTTGACACAAGACAATCCTGGTCATAAGCTTTGGATTGTGTTTGCCACATGTGAACACGTCCTGACAGTGCTTAAGGAGCGGAGACCCGGTAAGCAGCATTCCTCAGAGGGGAAATCTACATGGATGATCAGGCACTGATCATCAGTGTTGCCTTTCAGTGCCCATCATTACCGCTGATCAGTGCACATCAATGCCACACATCAGTGCCCATCAGAGCTGCCTTTCAGTGCCCATTAGTGATGCCTGTCAATGCCCATCCATGCCATCTATCAGTGCCTCCTCATCAGTGTAGTCCATTAGTACTCATCAGTACCATCTTTCAGTGCCGCCTATCAGTGCCAGTCAGTTCTGCCTATCAGTGCCTCCTCATCAGTGCTGCCTATCAGTGCCCATGAATGCTGCCTTTCAGTGTTCATCAATGATGCCTGTCAGTACCCATCAGTGCAACCTATCAGTGCAGCCTCATCAGCACACATCAATGAAGGAGAAAAAATACTTAATTGTAAACATTTTATAACAGAAATTAAGAAAATCTTTTTTTTTTCATTTAGTTTTTTTAGTTTGTTTTGCAAAAAATAAAAAAATAAAGCTTAATCTGTCTCAAAGAAATAATACAAATTTTGTTTGGGTACATTGTTGCATGACTGCGCAATTGTCATTCAAAGTGTGACAGCACTGAAAGCTGAAAACTGGCCTGGGCAGGAAGGGGATGAAAGTGCCAGGTAGGTGAGTGGTTAAAGGGATTAAACATGGTGAGATGTGCATGCGTTGCAGAGATGTGCAGCATGTGGTATTTATTTATTTATTTTTACCTACACTTATGAGGCTGAGAGCCGCTCCTTTATTGTTAAACACGCTTTGCAAAAATCATCTAGTTAGTGATCACTGAAAATAACAATGTATCCTGCTAACTGAATTTTGTCATTGGATAATGCGCACACACAGGGGTTGATTTACTAAAACTGGAGAGTTCAATATCTGGTGCAGTTCTCCATAGAAACCAATCTGCTTCCAAGTTTTTAATTGACTAAGCTGAAGTTAAAAGCTGATTGGCTACCATGCACAGCTGCAACAGATTTTGCACTTTCCAGTTTTATTGAATCAACCCCACTGCTTTTAGCGTAGAGATTTTCAGGAAACTGTTACAGCCATGACTAAGGATAAGAATGATGGTGAATGGTCATGGCCACTTGTCTAGCATTATTTTCTATTAAGCACTGTTACTGCATTGTAAACATAGACCATGATCTTCACTGCTGTGAATCGCTAGCCCTGACTGCCCTGTGGTCGAACCCCTGGTTCACATATCCGCACTCCTGCGGGACGCGTTTTGCAAGGGCAAGAGAGCCTATTCATTTGAATGGACTCCCGTGCCCCGGGACACGCAAGGAAGAAGCACTTCTTCTGAAAACACAGCCCGCACGGGAACCTTGGTTCTCAGTACGGTTGCGATTTCTAGTGCGGGTGACATGCCAGTAGAATTAATGGCACCTGCCCGTGGGTCCACATTCTGCGGATCCACAGCAGCACCACCCACACATATGTGAACCTAGCCTTAGTTAACCAACCTCCCCTTTGTATTGTTCACATTTTTCACAGCATATGAGCTTCTTTTCATTTTTATGTTGCCATAGGAGAACCTAATTTATAAAAGTGTATGAAGGAAGACATCCAATATTGTGTTAAATTCACTTTTAAATGCAAGCAGTGCAAGTACCTGAATTGGCCTCATGTAGTCCTCTGTACAGTAGAGCTCAGACTGAGGAAAGGAAAAAACAGCACACGGTCAGTTGTTTTGCAGTTTAAGAAGCATGCTGATAGGAGAAAAGAGCAGTGACAAAGATGTGAGCTTCTCTGTGTGCTACTTCTCCATTCACTGTCTATTACCAGGCTGGGAAAGGTACAAAAGAGTCGATTAACAACAGCAGAGAAAAATTAGGTCTTTGTCCTGCCAGACAGTGCTGTGCTGCGTGGCAGAGATGAGTAAATCCAAGAAATGGATGACAAAACTACAAATACTTTACCATGTAAAACTGGTCATATGTATAAGTAGTCATTTACTCAGAGTTCAGATTTAACTATGAGGCTCTGTAAAGCTAAATAAAAGGCACATATGAATGTATAATAAGTAAGCCTCCAACAAATAATTTACAAACGTAATATTTATATTTTTGCAAAAGCTCACACATGATTAACTCTTTTAGTATGCAGGTATTGAAATGCTAAAACTTTAAAGCCCAACACCAGGCTTGGGTCCTTTCCAGTTTACCTGTTTTCCCACCTCATTTTAGAGCCGCCCAGGGAGCAAGGTAAATGAAAAATACTGTATTCAAAGTTTGTCATTTCAGTGCCCTAGCTTACAGTATTGTAGCATGTATGTAACAGCTCAGTGCCTCGAGCTTAAATTAATCATTCAATAGTATCAGCAACAGGAATATCACACACTAAGGCCGGCCATACATGGGTCAATTTTCGAACGATTTTTCGTTCGAAAATCAGACCGAAGATTAATTGGCCAATTTTCGCTCTGTTAGTTGGGCCAATTTTCGTGGTTCCTCCCCATTTCGTTTATCGGACATGCTGGAAAATTTGTGAAAAAAGAAAAATTTTCAAAATCATTGGTGGCACCATTGGATTACAGAACAAACTATCTTTTCTATCGAAAAATTGTTCAGAATTCGACCCATGTATAGCCTGCTTAAGATGCAAAATAATATTCTTTCTTTAGTAAAATAACTGTCAGTAACAATTTATATGCTGACATGTTTTGTGCTAGGCGCAGCGCTTTCTCAAAGAATTGTGATTCTTTGAGAGAGCACTGTGCCTAAAGCAAAACAAGTTAAAATAGAACTTGTACCTGGTGACTATTTTATTAAAGGAAAAATAATAATTTGCACCTTGGTGTGCCTGTAGCTGGTACAATTATTATTATTATACAGTATTTATAAAGCGCCAATAGTTCGCTCAGCGCTGTACATTACAAAGGGGGACAGGACATGTGACAGAACAATAACAATACAATGCAAAACATGAGGGGATCGAGGGCCCTGCTCTTTGGAGCTTACAATGTAGGATTTGATTGCGTCAGTGGAGACAGGCTGAGCCAGCGCCTGAGAGGTGATCATGGAGTGTGGAGCCTGATCTCACCTGGAGCGACATGTGAAATATATTTAATGAATAATTGTTTAAACCAGAGTGTACTGTATGTAGATCATTTTATCTATTACCTTTCTGATGGAATTATGTTTTTATAGTACCTCCTAAGCCAATCCATCTAATATCTGGAGTCCAAGAGAAGCCTCCCCAGAAAATTCCTCCTGCTCCCTCAAGACCTCTGCCTTCTGCACCGAAAGTCACCAGGCGAACGAGGGAGAGGATCCAGTCTGACAGATCCGACATCAGCGCACTCATCCAGAAGTTTGAAAACATCAGGTAAATCTGCACCGTAGCCTTCAAGACAGGTATCCATTATGTGTGCGCTTTATTTTTTAAACGTCTCTAAAAAAAAAAATTCCGATTAGGTTATTGTAGAAAACATCTGCAATTTTTTTTAATGAGACCCTTTTGCAGGAATGAAGGTATACCTGCTAGTGGTATAATCTTGTTAAAATTTCCTCCTAAACTGGCTGAAGTTCTAAAACATAATGGTGTTTGAATATACCTTTGAAAGTTTTTTTTTAATGACCTAAACTGACCAAATTCCAGGTCAGTGTAATATGCAATATATTAATTTTCTTACAGTGACAACTGCAGTGCCACTCCACCTTCTGCACCTTTCAAACATATGAATTTAGTTTCTAATTGGACATATTGAAACTTCTCAGTATTTAGGGCTTTAGGGGTTCACAGGATGACAGGAACATTTTTCAAAGTATATGCAGACACACAGAAACCTGGTAACTTCCAGCAGTCATTTCTGCAGTCCAGACTTTTTGATTGGCTTCTCAGGATGACCATAAACGTTCTTGTTTGCACACTTTTCATATATAAGCCTCATATACACCTGTAATGTTCTTATATAGCTTAAAGTGGAACTCCACAATCTGAAAATGCTATTTCATTCATTTTCAATATTCAAAGCAAACTCACATATTAATTAATGTCTCCATGCTTTATTTTGCTGAGAAATCACTTTAAAAAACACCCCCTAGTATGTTTGGCCATGGCCATCTTAAGTAAGGGCAGCTGATTCATGTAGCATTTACTTCCTGGAATCCATCTGCCCTTGGCTCAGGCATGCAGGCATCTTTTGAATACAGTTGCAAAGCCCACATCCCGCACGGATGGATGGAGGGAGGAGTTTCTGGCGAGCAGAAACTCCTCCCTCCATCCGTTTATGAATAAATAAAGTTGAAGAGATTGAAGGGATGGAAGACCTGACACATGCCCAAAATAATAGATTAAATGTCTTCAGTAAGTCCTGGTTATACCTGAATCTGTTCAGATGAGGGTAAGCGCATTCTAGAGGGACATAATTAAATCCAGACCCCCTTTTTTCAGTTAGCCTACTTAATAACTGAATCATTCCTTTTGTGCCCACTATTCCCACCCTTTGTAATTGTGTGTGAGAACCCTCCAAGTGGCTATTTCCAACCCCCCCCCTCCTTTCACTACCTGGGTTATTATATCCATTATTGCACTTCGGTTAAACAACTTTCCTGGTCTCACCCCCTAATTTAACCCCTCCCTCAGCCTGGGTTTACACTGATGCAGTGTGGAATTTGCAGCGTTTTCTGTGTGAATTCCACACCACATCACAATTGCAACTCATGCATGCGAACCGCTGCGGGTGTGTATGTTAAGTTAACAACACCCCCAAAATCTGTCCGCAAAACTCGGTGCAATGTGCAGAATCGGATCGCATGAGTGTGAATACCCATGCGATCCGATTCTAGTGCGTACCAAAAAAAGGGAAGTGCAGCTTTTTGCTGCGGTGCGATTTGAGCCATACAAAATGTATGGCTCCAATCGCACTGCACACAAATCGTATGTGATTTGCACAAGAATGCAGTGCGGTTCCTGTGCGAATCACGTGATATACCTCACCACACAAGTGTGAACCCAGGCTCACTCTCCTTTACTTTATTCCACTTGTCACCCTTCCAGTTTATGAACAATGGAGCTAGGCAGCTGGAAAGAACCCTTGTTTCTCATGGTACTTATTTGTCATTATATGGCTTATACTTCTCTGAACTTCCTTATGCTTTTGTTTTTTTCCATTTACTTGTATTGATCCTCACCTGGAATATGCCAAGATGCATATGTGTTAAAGTGGTTGTAAGCACTTACATATACCTAGTGAAGCGACTGGCCTTACATATACCTAGTGATACACAGAGATGAAACAAATCCTTCTTCATAAGTTGTACCTGTTTATCTGCTGTCTTGTCTTTTATACATCTGTTCAAACTGTTGAATTTTTTTAAAGCTTATATGAGCTGTCAGAAAAAGGGGATGGAGAGCTGAAGTTGCACTCTGCAGAGCTCAGTGAAGAGAGCTCTGAGAGCTGATTGGAGAGACAGGACACACCTCGCTCCACACAGCTCACAGGAACAGACCTGAGGCTGTTACCCTGCTGGAGGTCCCTCCCTTGTCACCATTTTTCTTTTGGTGTCAGGAAAACTTGTCAGAAGTGGATCATGCTGCTGATAGCAAAGGAACCAAGCAGCAGACAGACGTAACAGTTAGTGCTCTATATTAGAAAAAGTACACACTATAGAGGGATATGCTTTGTGCATATTTCATGTCTGAGGTTTACAACCACTTTAAATCCATGTCAACTTCTTGGTCTGTATGTTTGTTGAAAAGAGAATTTGAAAAAAAAATGTTTTATTTCTCAGAAAATAGGTCTTTCTAATGTGCCTTTAATAAAAGTCAATTGGTCTCAGACCTTGTGACTTTTGCAGAATTGTATGGTATTAATTAGGGACCAGTGTTGGTTGTGAACCAACCTCAAGCATCTAGCAGCAGCTGTTATACAGAACAGCCATCATTAAATATCATATGGGGCGTATTTATAGAGTGGACAACAATTGACTTCCCAAGCTCTGCATATACCATGCACTGCAGTTGTAGCCTAAAATCCTCATTTGTGTTCACTCTCGGCACACATTCATAATATAACTGCATGAATGTGCCAGGATTTAACCATCCTTTATTCATGTGCCATCTATGCTGGGACATTGATGGCTCTACCAAGTTAAAAAATGGTATAATTTAATTAGGAATCGTAGTAATTTTCTGTGTTTTATTTCATGCTTTTTTTCTGTCAATGTACTGATGGAAACCTCAAACATACTATGATGGTAGGGGGAGTTCACTTCTCCACCTATTCTCATGGTTTCTTTCACTGTTATCGAACTACAAGGATTGTGACTTAAAGATCAAATCTGTATTTAAATGTCAGTCCTACCGGCCCCATATATCCAACTCTCTTCCCTTCCTGGTACTTCCAGGTATGTTGGAGCATGTGATTACTCCATACATGACAATGTAGGTGATCGGCTGTTGTTATACATGTATCATAAGTAGTTATGTTGTATGCATACCTGTTGGCAGCCATATTTGCTCATTACTTATCAAGCTCTTGTATTACTACTCAGTAGTGCTGCACAATGGTTGAGCCTTGCCCAGGGGCGGACTGACCATTTGGAAACTTGGGCAATAGGGGGCCCCATGAGATGCCCCTGGTACCTTTTTCATAGGCTTTTTTGAGTTTGGGCAAGGACACAGGGGCCCCATGATCCCTTATTGCCCGGGGGGCCCCATGAGTTGTCAGTCTGCCCCTGGCCTTGCCAGTCCTCTTATATTACTATCTGATTGAAAACCGTGAATGCTTACTGAAGGGACAAACTCCTAAAATTTTCTTCTACGTGAACAGAACAACTTTTGTTTAATGCGCACTGTTTTTCGTATGAGAAAAATAGGATATGAAAGACTGCAAATGATTAGAAACAATAAACAATAATCTATGCTACAATGTTTCTATGACAAACAAAAAAAAAAGCTAGGGATGCACCGATTCCATTTTTTTAATACAAAGTATGAGTACTGATACTTTTTTTTTTTTTACTCGCTGATATCGATTACCGATACGTACCGGCAGCTGTTTTGTTTACAGTTCAGCTGTCGGCAGAGGAACCCCACTGACAGCTGAATGAGTGATCGGTTGTTGAGGATGCTGCGCCCCGCTCCTTAAGCAATTCAGTTCTTACACCTGTTCGCCGCTTATGAACCAGAGCAATTTTTACATTTCTGTTATGGACCTGTTTATTCAGCGATAACTTTGTCATTACTTAAAAAAACAATATTTGTATTATGTTGTTATCTTAAGGACAAACAAGGCTTTCTTTTCATGAGTATTGTCTTGCAACAATGATATTTTTTTTTCACAATCCTTAGACAATTAAATGTAACAAAGCTAAAAGAAAATGCACTTTTTCTTTTTTTAGGCAGTGTTTAGTTTAAAAATTAGTGTTACTGCACATAAAAAGTGCACATTTTATTCTGTACTTTGTCCTGTTTAAAATGACACTAACATTTTGATACTGGTAAAAGCACTGAAAAGTTATTTACAAATTAAATTTATTTTTTTCAATTGTGCGGGTTTTTTTTCACTGTGAAACGTGTACATAGATGGTGTAAAAAAATGATTAAACAAAGCCAACAAAAATTAAAAAAAAAAGGTTTAATTATTAATACAAGGGGTGTTCAAGTCAAACCGGGACTTTTGAGTTTATATAATAAAATAACACATTTCAAGCAAATTTCAAAAATAAACTGCATTTATATTTTTGACATGCTCCCCTGATACATTTATACATTTATCCCAGCATTTAACTAAGGCCTGGAAAGCTTCGGCATAGAAAGATTTGTCAGTAGGCCTGAACCATTTTAGGACATTCATGAATGATTGCGTTTACCTTTCTCTCAGAAAGATTTGTCTCTTGTGCAATTTCACGACAGATTATGTGCCGATTATCCAGGCGTTCCACAACTGTTCACAGGAATGGCTGCTGTGGGCTTGGAACCACCATGGACGGGATTGTCACTGATGGACGTACAGCCATCTTTGAAATGTTTAGGGCATTCAGATGTCTTACTGTGGCTGTGTCTCATCCAGGGGCGGACTGACCATTTTGAAAATCGGGCACTGCCCAAGAGCCCGGGGTCAGTAGGGGGCCCCATGAGATTGCCCCTGGTACCTTTTTCATAGGCTTTTTTAAGTTTGGGCAAGGACACAGGGGCCCCATGATCCCCTATTGCCCGGGGGGCCCATGAGTTTTCAGTCCACCCCTGGTCTCATCACCGTACTATGATTGAAGTCTTCTGTAGCTATCCTTAGGTTTTATGCCTTTGTCCACTAGAAACTTTATCACCACACACTGTTCCATGCACGCACTATCATTGTTGTTTGCCATCTTGATTAACAGTCTCTGGACTGGCCCGCCGATTATCAATAATAGGACACACTTTTTATACCTGTAAAATTAAAAGTCCCGGTGTGGCTTTAACGCCCCTTGTAGTTTATAAAATAGTAATGAACAAAAAAAAATCTAAAAAATCCTAATTAAATAGAGGAGAATAATAAAGAGTTAATTGGGTATGATTAAAGTAATGGTTAATAAGTGGTTAAACAGAGGAATATTTAATAAAAAAAAAAAGACAACTTTTTTTTACTTGACAGCTTGCTTTTAAGTGACTTCCCCTGCAGTTTGAAATTCATTTCTTTGATCTGCAAAAGAATAAACAGAAAGTTACAGAATTAAGCAATGCTTTGTTTTATCTTTCTGTTTTAACGGCTGAGCAATGTTGTTGTAAACCTTGTCAGGCATTTTTTTTTTTTTTTCTTGACAGCTGCAAATGCCTGGATTTTCCTTTGTTTACACTACAGCTGTCCGCAGCGGATCCCCACTGAAAACTGAATGAGTCATCAGTTGTTAAGGACTTGGTGGCCACGCTCCTTAACAACCGGTGATCGCTGTTTTTTTTTTTTTTGTACATTTAAGCTGTCAGTGGGGAAATCCCGCTGATAGCTGAAATAACCGAGCCTGAAGGTATCGGTTTCAGGTTTCGGTGCATTTGCAATACCGATGCGTGTGTAAATGCTTAATATTGGCACCAATATCGGTATCAGTGCAACGCTAACAAAAGCCATTTAAGAATTTACATACAATTAATGCCATCCTCAGGTTCTATTTGATGTGAAACATCAAGGAAATCCGGACGATAGTTCACCCGATTTTTCTTATAGTGTGTACCCAGCTTTAGCAGCCAGTAATGCATAAAACAACAAATACTGCTAGTAGCAAGGGACCATGTGATCTTTGAATTGTCTACCATGTTAAATTGTTTTGTATCGATTCACATGCAGTGGGAATTTTTATGATGAACCGTTTACTGGAATTAGCTGTTTTGTCAGGCAAACCTGCCAAGCTGCTTTTTTGCATACCTTTCAGGAGAGATACCAATAGTTATTTTCATTTCTCCAATTTCTATGTTGTCTGCTTTGCAAATGCAGGAAACGGGCAATGGTAGAATTGTATTGGAAACAATTGTGTTTGTCACATGACCAAACAACTCATCAAGTGACAGCCATTGTGCTTGGTGGGTAGATGAACAAACAAGTATCACCTTGTAGTTTGTTGAGCAGAACCTGTTGCTAGGAATGTGGGACAGAATATAAAACGGATAGTGTGAGACAAATCCTGTCATGGAAGTGTAACTAAAGGCAAAATCCTTGCAAAATGAAGGAATCCTGGGGTGTAACCATGGTCATCAGAGCTAGTGTCCATGCTGGAAGATTTGCTCTCTATTACTGTTCTGATGTCAATCAAAAGTAGGGATTTTTATTTTTATTTTCAATGATAATGGTAAATAGGATAAATAGAGAGGGTGAATCTCCCTAATGAAAACACAGACAGCAGTAAAACCATGACAGGTGTTCTAATCCCTCTCTACTCTATCCAAAACTGAAAAAAACCCCAAAAAAACCCAACTTTGCCTTTAGTTACACTTTTAAGGATTCTTTATAATTTTGAAAACTTGTAATGCCAACTCTGATTACATTTCTGCTTTCCATTTCCTCAGACAACCTAAAGAATTTGTCAAACACAATCGTCTCAACTCCTATCTAAAAATGGAACCTGGCTCAGGACCTTCCAAATGCCCATGTCCATCAAGGAAAGATTCAGTGGTTGAGGGTGGATTATCTGCGGAAGAACTGAGTGGTGCGGAGGATAACGAACCTGCTATTTCTCACAATACAGACCTCTCAAGTCCTGATAATGTTAAATTTAAGGAGCTAAGTATCACTGACATCAATAACTGTGGGGAAAGCTCATCCATGCATCGAAATGGGGAATCTATTAGGGACAATGGCAATGAGGAACTTACAGTAGATCAGAACGATAATGGTAAAATTCCCAATCGAGACAGCGGTATTGACAGTCCTTCATGTAGTGTGGTAGGGGAGGGTGTTTTCAAATGAAGAGACTGTAGAGCAGAGGAAACTTACATTACCTGTCACCACACTTGAAATAAATAACCGTGTCTCTGTGGATCAGAAGAGGGACTCCACTCAGGATGAAGATAGTGACATGGATGAAGGAAGCAGTGAAGAACACGAAAGCACAGAATTAACAAAAACAGAGAATATTGACACCACAAAGGTAGGTAGCTAAATCAAACAAATAATGCAAATATTACTTTGCTAATATATTCTAGTAAATGTCAACTGTTAACTAATGTATAGGTGTACTTGTCTGTTTATTGTAAGGGAATTATTGACAGCGGTAAACCATGCAAAGTAGGTCTATCCTGTACTACTTTTTTTTTTTTTTTAGCAAGGCAGAAAACACTGTTTCATTGCAGGTGGACTTTATACAGCAAGCCCATTCCTGACTAAGAGGTTTCCCCCGCAGAGGGTTCCCAAGAACAAACAAGCAACTTGTACCTTTTAAGTGTTATGTCAGCACTCAGCCTTTTCACCCAGCAGCAGGCTCTGACAGCAGAAAGACAGAAAGAGTGCTGAGCTTCAGTCAGCTCGCATATATAAAGGCCTATGGACAGCTGAAGCTACCAGATAAGATGTGGGCCTAGAAATAGAGCCTGTATCACACCCAGTGCTCTTCAAAGCCTCCGGGCTCCGGGACACAGACAGAACCTATTAAGGATCTTATAAAGCAAAAAGTCATTAACCCCTTGACGCCGGCTCCACATAAATATACGGCCTCACGGAACTGGGCTTTTTTCCGTGGGGCCACATATTTGCGTACCTGTCTTTGTGCTGGGAGCGCGCTGCACTGCGCGCTCCCAGCACAAAGACCGCGGTGTCTAGCGATCGGGACCCGGAACTCCTAATTCTGGGTCACATGATCGCTATGATAGCCTCTGATTGGCTATCACATTGAACAGTCACTGTGCAGCCAGGCTCCCTTGTTTTTCTCTCTCTCTATGAATGGAGAAGAGAGATACATTGGATCATTGTACATTGTATCTCTCTAACTCCTGGCATGGAGAGAAAAAAAATGTTTGTAAAAAAAAAAAAAAAGATAAATTTAAAAAAATAAAGAAAAAATACCTAGATCAAGGTTTGATCTAGTTCAGTGCCAGGGTTATTATTTGGGTCAGGGTCAAAGGTCAAAAGGTCAGGGTCAAAGGTCAGGTGTTTTTATTTTGTTTTGTTTTTTAATTTGATGTTAGTGTCAGTGTTAGTCTGTTTTAGGTAAAAAAAAAAAAAAATGTCAAAAACAAAATGCGCACTATTGTTTCTGGGCTGTACTGTGGGTACAAACAACAAATGACATACACATATATGGTATCACTGCGATCGTCAAGAGCTGGAGAATTTATTTTGGGTTGTTCTTTGGTGGGAGGTTATGATAGTAACAAGAAGCACATAGCTAAATAAAAAAAAGATTTTTTTTTTTTTTACCATTTTGGGCCAGTTTTCCTTTCAGGAGATATCCATTATCATTTTCAACGAAATAAAAGCCCAATTTGTCCTGAAAAAAACGTGGTATAATTTCCCTGGATGTACAAAATATTTGTGATGATATGTACGGTTTTACTAACACATGTCAACGTTGCAAAATTGTGCTTATGCATTAAGATTTGTTTTACCCTTAGGCATGAAGTGGTTAAACTTGGAGCCCCTCAGCATGTGTGTGTGACATATAGGTGACACATACACACCATCCACAATCCTGCCAGCCAGTGCCCCCCCCCCCCCCACACACACTGTATATATACACTGTATAAAAAAGAAATGGTTAAATACTTACAGTAACTGCACAGCAGGCCTCATTGAGCTCTCTCTCTTCCAGTGCCAGGTAGCATGTCCCCAATGCACTTTGTGGTTTCATCCTTGGCCTCTACATTACTGCTGTGTCCTGTAGTGACATAGCAGCCAGTAGGATGAACCACCACGTGCAGGAGGGAGACAGCAAAGAGCAAATTCCAACCACAAGCTGAACAAGTATTTATTAAACACCATCTTCTACAGGGTTTTTCTATGTAATTTTTTTATCCAAGTGACAGCGACACTGTACATGAGGGTTGCCATAGTATGTTGATTTTTTTTTTTTTCAGTGTGAAAGTAATAGTTGAGTGCAGGGGCGGACTGACCATTTGAAAACTCGGGCACTGGGTCAGTAGGGGGCCCCATGAGATGCCCCTGGTACCTTTTTCATAGGCTTTTTTGAGTTTGGGCAAGGACACAGGCCCCATGATCCTCTATTGCCCGGGGGCCCCATGAGTTGTCAGTCCGCCCCTGGTTGAGTGTGAGCACTTCTTGCTTCTCATAAAGCACTGCCTGCACCATATTAATTAGGGTATTTCATGGCGTTTAGCTGACAGCAACTTTCACGCTGCCAAAGTGACAGGTGAATAAGCAGCCAGCTTGCCCAACACAGTCAATCTAAAGCTCCAGGAGTTTCCTCCACCTCGGGTGTATAAGGCAATGACAGGAACTCCTACTCACCAGATGTGATACTAACCTGACATCTTTGTCCAGGATTTTTTTTTTTTTTTAATGCAGGCTTAAATTGAACCTTTTGGTAACTTGACAAGTCACGTATGTGTGAATACATTCCGGACACCTCATATTATATGCCAAATTGTACCTTTTACCAATAAAAAGCAGTTCTTGAGCTCCAGTCACGTTACGCTGCTCAGTGTAAGATTAAGTCTTCAGTCTGATGCAAGCAAGAGAAACTATTTCCTCCCTCTCTCCTCCTCAATCAACAGATTGCAATAGTATAACCTTGTAGCAGGTTACAAAGTAAAAACAAAATCCTTCTGATGACAAAAGCACCTCAAGGCATTGTTAGGGGGAGTATTGTGATATCTGTAAATTTCCCACTTAGGAAGTACTTTGCATGTGTATTTAACATTAAAAATATATCTGATGCTTACCCAGTTGAATATACGCCTGTATATATACAGTACCTTCATTACCAAGCCATAGTTTTCACTTTTCAGTGCTTTGATAATTTGAGTGAAGATTACTTGGTCAATCATTTTTAACTATTTTTTGAGACAGAGCTTTAATTTGATGATATTGTATAACCACTGTGTTTTTTAAATCTTTTAATACATAAATAAAGCAAAAAAGACTGAACATTTTGAAAAAAAAATGATGTTCTGACTGCCTTTCACATTTCTCAAGGCCCTAAAATGCCAAGAAAGTACAAACACCCACAAAATCACCCCTTTTTTAAAATGAGGCACAGAAAGGTGATTTAATTTTTGCCACAATTTTTGGGAAATGAAGAAATTTTACTGGTTTTGTGGTGCTTAACCTCCCTGGCGGTATTCCCGAGTGTAGCTCGGGGTAAAGTTTCAGTACCACAAGTGGTAACACTGAGCTACACTTGGGCTTACCATGCGGCACTGCTCCGCGATCCCTCTTGCACTTACCTTGTCCTTCGCTCCCGCGATGTCCCTCCTGCAGTGTCCCCGGCAATGTAATCCGGTGGATACCGGCATCTGTCATCTGGGTCCCCTGCGAGCGTCGGGACGTACGGGGGAAGGAACTGGCGGGAAATTTGAAAATGACAAAAAGTGACATTCACTAAATACACTAAAATCACATAGTAAAACATTACTGTATCAAACCATTTCACATACATTTTGTCCCGAGTGCTTTGTGCTGTGCCCTGCCTGCATTTTTACTGTTCTTTCTGCCTGGAAACTGAGAAATGTCCATGGCGTCAAAAAAGCGTCCCATTAGGTCAAAAGAGGTTTTAGACCAGCTAGAGAACAGCGATAGTAAATTAGAACTACTTGCAGAATTGAGTGATAATGATTCGTGGGGAAATTCGTCATCAGACACTGAAAACGATTCTGCGACTTTGCTCAGTGATTTGCGAACGTGGCGCTATATTTCAAATTTCAGTGTTTTTGGTTTGATTATATTATTGAATTAAATTTATTATTTTTTATGATTATTTATTACATTATAATTTATGATTTCGTGTTTCAAGTTTTATCCTACCCAGGATGTTTACTAGACTCTTGTTCGGACAGATTTCAGTGAGTTATTCCTAAAAATTACAGGCCTACAATAAAAAAAATACATATTTCCATGAAAAAAAATGTACCGCTTTCAGCACAGAAATATGCACATAATCAGACCGCTAGGGAGGTTTAAAAGTCACCCATTGAAGCCAAATATTCCACCCCCCAATCACTATTGGTCAATGGCATTGTAACCCACATACACAATCACACACTTTGAATCCCCCCTCCCACCTTTAGAAAACAATCCTACAATCAATTCTGGTCAGTCGACTTTGCACTCCACCCCTTTCTGGCACCTTGAATCGCAAGCCTTCCTCTAGTGCTGCGCTAATCAAAGAATGAATACATACAGAAACAGGGGCGGACTGACAACTCATGGGGCCCCAGGGCAATAGGGGATCATGGGGCCCCTGTGTCCTTGCCCAAGCTCAAAAAAGCCTATGAAAAAGGTACCAGGGGCATCTCATGGGGCCCCCTACTGACCCCGGGCCCTCGGGCAGTGCCCGGGTTTCCAAATGGTCAGTCCATCCCTGTACAGAAATGAATAAAATAAACAAATGAAACCAGGATAAATATATAAAAATGATTGTGAGTCCAATAAATCATCAAATACAGTAAGTATCCAATAAATAAAGTGCAACTCTTTTTCATAAGTACTCCGAAGTGCTCCAAAAAAAAAATTATGCTCCCCACATCGCTGTGATCAAGCCGCTTACCAAGTATGTATGACCAAAGATTATAACAGTCACACAAGCATGTTTCCCCACTAAGGTAATCGCTTCACTAACATGATAAATCAGCAGGAACACCACTCATACTCTACATCAATGTCAGCAGACAGGATCTTACAACATAATCAGAAAAATATGGAAGAAGAAAGCAAGCTCCATGGTGTAAAACCGTTATATGTAAATTTAATAAAATCAAAGTGCAAACTCACAAAAAAACTCTTATATGGCAGCATATAAGAAACTCAAGTGCTCCTGTGTGATGATCACCACTTGATCCGATCAACAATCATATTCTTGATGATGTCATGTCCTGTGGCCCCGCCCAACCAATTTCTCTGGAGACCGCATCATGAAGGGGATTGGTTGTTCATTTGTTATTACAAATGTGTGCCAGCTGATTCTGACTTTTGACCCCG